TGGCACGAGCCAAGCAATTAAATTTCACATATGATGGCTAGGGGTGCTTGTGACTTGTATGTACCAAAGGTAAGCCTAATAAAATCCTTGAAAACTAGAATGGCAATTTTAAAGAGAAACTGTACTTACAAGAATGATTAAAAACATATTCATACAATGCCTACAAGATCTAACTTGGATGACTACTTAAAAAAGAACAAGCATGCATAAATGTGTACACTCTTCTTATGTGCACATAACAAAGTCGGATACATCTCAATCTCTCATTACCCAAGATTTCTGTCTAGATATGATTATTAAAGAACGAATTAGGGAAATTTGAGAGCAAGAAAGCTTCCTACAGCTAGGTCTATGGCACTCTAAACAAACTGAAAAAACTACATGTTGAAGTTTGATGAATACAAATAGTGTAAAGAATGAACAACACGAGTCCACCACACAAGGAAAGTGACAAAATGGAGAATTCTTTCACTTGCACTCTAAAGGACATCCATCAAAACCTCTAAAAAAAGAAGGCACACTTGGATGAGATCTGATGCACAACACGAGGCAACTCTTATTGATAATTGTACGAAAATTGTTTAGGGTTGACCAAAAGCAATGAGATTATGAGAGCAAATAGGAAAGCAGTGGTTAATATTGAATTGGACTAACGATTTTGCACTAGGTTGCAATATGCATTAGGTATTTTTAGCCCATTAGTGAAGGGATGGGATGGCCAAGGATGAAATAAAAAAAATATATTAGGCAATGATGAAGCAAAGTACAATCATTTTTTGAAAATTATAGAAGAGAAATAAAATTTGCAGCTTGTGAGGCCCCTAAACTTAGCAAGGTACCAACAAAATCCTACTCATTTCTACATTGATCATGATATACATAACGAGAGTGAGTTCATAGATGCAACCAACTAATGCAACATCAAACTTAACCATGATCCCGATGTCCAAGACAAGGTCATAATGGATTGAGAGAGAGAGAGAGAGAGAGAGAGAGAGAGAGAGAGACCATACCTACATGAAAAACTCTAGAAAGAAACAACAAGCATTCAATTACATATAGTCCAATCAAAAAACTATAAAGTAAATTTTGAGAATAAAACAACTCAATATATTTGGGGATGTAGCGTTCTTTCAAACTCAACAAAGTAAATATCTTTTCTACAAGACAATAGAAGAATGAAAGTCATGAAAGCCAACTATAGACAACGAAATTGGCGTCAAGTAAAATTGAGAAAAATAAAATTTAAGAAATCCTCATTTTTAAGAATCCATTTAAATTTTATCAAGGAGAAGTCGTGTTTCCTCAATGAGAAAATTCTCTCTCACTTGGCTATGTTGGATGCTCAGGTGAAATATAGACCATGATGTTAGAGGATGACACACCTCACATCAAGGATCATGTCCTATTTTGGAGGGTGCATTGGACCATAACATATCCATACTCAATTTTAGTAATGGACATGGCAGATCGATTTGCCATCTCTGCCTTGACTTATTTGGTGTTGCATGGGAAAAAAGATAGACGAATATCAATTTTGTATGATTCAAAAGAGTTTTCCAGGTCTTATTTTGTTTGGTACTATCATTCTAAAGATGTATATGCAAACATATGTCAGAAAAAAAACTTGTGAATTGATCATTGTTGCCCAATGGTATATTCTTATAAATTAAAATATGCAGTTACCAAATTTTTTTGACCAAAATTTAGGAAAAAATGCAATGGAACAATAGCGAGATTATACAAGTTCATAAACACTAATTTTCTTAGCCTTATGCATTTTGGAATGCATTTTTGAACGCCAAATTAAATGGAGTTCTCATACAAAAAATAAATTTTGAAGAAAGTCAAACCTTTATAAAATCCTTTGCCCTATCGAAACTAAAAAATTAAAGATAGCCCCCCTCCATCTATGCTTATTCCCATGTCCCTAACAACTAAATTGAGACTAAAGCTACAAGCATATATTAACACATTTATGTGTATATAGTAAGTTTAAGTGCTTCTCAATCTCTCATCACCCATAGTACCTTTCTAGATAAACTATTAAAGAGAGAAAAATTGTACCTTTCTAGATAAACTATTAAAGAGAGAAAAATTGTACCTTTCTAGATAAACTATTAAAGAGAGAAAAATTATGGTCTTTTGAAAGCAAGACAACTATGTACAATTGGGTCCATGGCATATTTGGAAAATGATGGGATTCTTTCACTCTAAAAGAGGCTCAACATAGTCATAAAAACTAAAAACCAGTGGGCCAACCTCGATGAGATGTCATGTACAAAGTAACACAACTCTTATTAGCGATCACATTCAAAACAATGATCTATACACATATACCTAATATTAGTATATAAATTTTGATACTGATAGCTATAAATACTGGTGTATATTAACAATTACAGCTCAATATATATATCGAATTATAAGAGGGTAAATTCTATAAAGGAAAACATGCACTCTCACTATCACATCAATATCAAAATTCAACTACGAAGGAGATCAAGTTATCCACCATTTGGAAAGAAGCATACACAAAACATTTCGTGTACAACGAAGTCCTAATAGACAAGTAACCTATGTCATATACTTTGCAGTCACAAAAGTGAGAAGTATGATGCATATCAGTCTATATATTATATGACGTCATGAGTTCCATTCGTACTACCGGGTAGGGGAATCTTTGCCCACTGAATTACCAAATATATATATATATATATATATAAGTCAGTATATCATTAATATCGGCAACTAACATAATCTCTCTCTCTCTTCTTCCCTTATATATATATATATATATATATATATATAATATATCAGTCAATATATTATTGATAACTGCAACTAACATAGTATTTCTCTCCCTCTTCCACACACTGACACACAACCATGTATACATGGTTGTATATAGTTATACAATGTTAGGCAACCCTAAATAGTTGGGATAAATCTAAGATAATGATGATGATCTCAAGATATATATTATTATGAAACAGGCTCACGCGCTTCCACACACATAGACACACAACCATGTATCTTTATGAAATTGAAAATTTCATATGAGATTTTTTATTGTGACTTGTATGTACCAAAGGTGAGCCAAAGTAAACTTAGAAGAATGATTAATAACATATTCTTACAATGCCTACAAGATCTAACTTAGATTACTATTAAAAAACAACAAGCATGGATATATGCGTATGATAGTGGATACAAAGACTAGAGCAAATTTTCAAACCGAAAAACAAGGCAAAATGGACACCTTCAATAAGCCACTCGCTAAAAACCAAGCTAAGTGAATAAGTTATAATCCTTTAAATAAGAGAGAGAAAGATGGTTTGCAAAACGTGTGGATCTATAGAGGGTGAGAATGAAGTCAGGATGAGAGATTAGTGTGGGTAGTTGGACTTTGCCAGAGTAGTATAAGAGGGGGAAGAGTCCAGAAAATTGAAAGAGAGATTTGAGACCCAAGCCTCAAGAGAGATTGGATTCACCACCAACCACGGTGAAAATAATGAAATGATCAAAGCTGAATTTTTGTTGGAGCTGCAAAGAGAAGCACTAGACTTGCATGTTTTTGGGATATCACATGAAACAAACAAGGAGACAATTAAAAGATCCATGCAATACTTTTGGTATGAGGGCTCTTTGGCAAAAATAACATAGTCTCGTATGGATTGAGAAACCTAAATAGAACTTCGAGGATTGATATTATCTAAAGTGATTAACTAAATGTGATTTGTTGGCTTAGAAGGCAATCTCTAGATCATATGGAATACATGGGTTTATTTTGTAGAAGTACAGACTCATTGTTCAATATGTATTTATTGAATATTTAGCATCATCCTGGAAAGGAAATACAATAACAAATTTACTAAAATGTGGGCATGTAGGGCTCTGACAAAGGGATTATAGGTTTACCACAGTTACCCATCCCTTTTAATGATGTGTCTATTAAAAAAAAAAAACCAAGGAGAACATTTTTTAAGTACTTAAAAACCAAGAAACAATGGTAAGATAATAATAACTGCAAATGAGCCATCAGTTTTATAGAGTTTGATACTGCCACTGTGATCTAGAAATTTTGGAAAGCCATCAATAGTTTTAAAAGAACTAAAAAGAACTAACAGAACCAAGACCAGTTCTCAATAACTTGTTCAATACATTTTTCAGAAGGTAAATACAGTGGCAAATGAGTTGGCTAACTCGGAATCGAATGCATCTAGGAATAAGTCACAGCTATATGAAACCATAGTTCGTAGTCTTTTTTTCTTCCCGAAGAAACGTTCCTCATAGTCAAGTATCTTTATTAACAAATAAATAAATAAATAAAAAACCACTAAATGGCAGAGGCTTGCCAATTATAAAAGGTACAATCCCTGAAAGTTCACAGATATGTTGCCAGTCTAGAAACATAACAAATACTACTCTAAAATTGATAGATACTACCCTTATGTTTCCAAACCAACCCTATTCTGAATAGCAATTACATCTGATTTGGATAAAAAACAAGGAAGAATAAAGGTTCCATCTCCCATCTTAGAAAATAACATATCCTCTTAGTACCAGTGAGCCCTATATTTGCACAAGTTCACATGTTCATGCTCCATTTCTCATTGCATGCCAGAAAAGAATTATAAAAAGAGAATATATCCTAACGTAAATATGCATTACTGAGAAAAGCTTCATGCATCTCCTAGTTTTATGTTTCATCTTCTTCCAAAAAACTTGACTATTTTCACTTCAGACTCCCTTGTCTAAAATGATAAACCTTCTAACACATATTGACGTCCAGCAGCAAGCCACACTCACGATCATGCATATAACCCTATACATCCCATGGCAACAAATGTTCATAACTTCACATGGTTTGGTCCAGCAATACCATGGTTAGTGCATTAGAATATTGAAGCAGACCAAGTATCCATTCAATTTAAACACTAAATATTAACTGCAGCTCATCTTCATTTCACAGGGAAAACAAGGGGACGAGAACTTACCCAAAACCTCTATCTTCACAGTAAAATTTGATACATTATTTCATGAACCAAAAGTTTCAAAATCAATTGAGCTGCTGCACAAGAAGGTGAGGTCCTGCAAGCCCAGCGGGATATGAAAAGCCATTAGTTAACATTAATGAAAAAGTTCAAGTTATACTTGTGCCTATTTGAAGTAGTCATACCATGAGCATTAATAAGATATTTGGTCTTGATTTATAGTTCTGTCTATTTTTTTTCCCTTTCTGATCTGCTTTTTAGATGAGTAAAGTGGATGTTTTCTTCATGTTTGCAGTACTAAAGAACCTTGCACAAAAAATTACTGCACCATATCTACGACATCATGCCCAAAAAGTGGACCAACATTCTGATAGTAAAAGTGACCAATTGAAGGCTCCCTCTTCATTAGAAGCTTGCTTCAGTATTCCACTAATTGCATTTTCAACAGAAAGAAGGAATTTAGCAGTTTCCTAAAATATACGAAACGAACAGAAATCCAATATTCCAAGTGTAAGAAGCACAAAAGAAACGAGATACAAAATATAAAGTATTACAAATGCTCTATCAGGGCAAAGGTCAAACATGTACATGTAATATGAAGAACATTGTAATTCGTATGGCATGAGTGCATCATAAGCCGAATAAATCGACTTCCAAAGCCGTGTCGCTTGGATTTTTTATTTCCGCTCTCATATATTCATGTGTTTAGGTAGTCATATTTTTGCACTCCTGGGAGTGTGGCTCTAATTGAGTGAAAGCAACCATTAGAGTAATGGGTGACACATCCATGGGTGAAAGATGTTGTGAGAGGAAGGCTCTATGGATAAAACAGGCCATGTGATATGTGCTACTTACAAGAAAAAGATCATCACAAAAGGTGTACTCTAATTGGATGAAATAGGCTATTAAAGTAGGGCTTTACTTGGATAAAACAAGCTACTAGAACTGGTATAGGGGGCTCCATCGCTCTCGCCTTGGCATGTGAAAAGGCATTGACTTGGACGATCCAGGGTGGTGGATGTATATAGTCCTTGTAATACGCACCGCCATAGAGGATCCAGGGTTGTGGATGCTGAACCAGGAGGGAACCAAGAGGAAACCAAGACCCTATTGTACAATGAGATGGTGGCTTGTAAAGGCGAGTGCCTAAAAGCCTCTGCATGGCATCCTACGCAGCACGCAAGCATGACAATGATATTGGACCAAAATGGGTAAGAGAAGCGTACTTCGTTCTTCGTTTGCATGTAGTTAGACTCCATTTGCACTGGATAAAGAGATCAGGACACTCCTGTGCAGTTCTTGATCTTTGTGACCACAAACTTGTCCTTGGAGTAGTCACGTGGGATCTATGACTATCCATGGTCCTTCTATGCCTTGGTTATCTTTGATAGGTTAACCACGAGCCCATTGCATGGGAGACATGTGAATCATGGATTTGTTGGGTTGGCTTGACGTCCAAAGTGTGGCCATAGGGTAGTCATGGAACTTTTAGTTGACAATCTGGTACCATTGCTAGAAAAAATTAATAGAACAAATTTGTGTGTTAAAAAAAAAAAAAAAAAAAAAAAAAAGAGAAAATATGGTTCCAAGATAGGGTGGTGATGTACTTGAATCTGATCCTAGTTCTCAAAAAAAAAGAAGGATGTACTTGAATCTGATCCTCCAATTATAAAACCTAATGCCAATGGCCATGCTAGAAGAATATTAGAAAAATGGCTAGAAGATGACAAAGTAGATAGGACAATAATGTCAAGCTTTATGGGGGGCAATTTGATTAGAGTTGTAGCGGACTACTTTGCTGAAAATATAATGGGTGCCTTGCCTAAAAAATATGAGATTAACTCTAATATCCAAGTTCAACTCTGACTAGAAAAGTATAATTCTTGAAGGGTGAAAGAAATAGACTTGGTCACCGAGCATGTTAATAAAAATGAATGTTACACATTCGGGAATACAATCCCAGACCACATACCAGCCTCTATTGTCCTAAATAGTCTAACCCCATTATGGGAGCACATTATTTCCATCACGGTGAGCTTCTCTATCTGCTATCTTTCATTTAAATAAAAATGGTGCAGAAAAAAGGGAAACGAGAATGTTTTCTTTCGTTTAAAACTTTAAGGCTCTGTTTACCAAAACAGAATCCGGATATTCATAATTTTAGAAATATGAATATACGCATTACCAGTTTTTTATATATATGAATTATAAATTATTTTGAATATGCGTTTTTCTGTGCATGATTGACTGTCCACCTTTATCTTAAAATTTTGTCACATTACTGTCCACCTCTATCTTAAAATTTTGTCAGATTACTGTAAAGTGAAGAGAGAGAAAGAGAAGTAGAGAGAGGAAGAGAGGAGTAACGTAGCTAATTACAGGTTAAAAAACAGAGAAACAACATAAAGACCCACAACATAGTAGCCAATCAATCATTTTTTTTTCAAGGAGAGTATAAATAATGCTACACAATTTAGTCTAAAGAGAAATGTTAATTTAGAAAGAGCGAAAAATTGAAAAAGCCTGTCCCATTTACAGTACCCATTGAAATTTTTGGATAGAGCGAGGAGAGAGTACCCATTCCAACTTCCTTCAGTCCCAAGCCTCCCTCCAATAGGAGAGAGAGCAATTCGAGAGAGAGAGCAATACCTAGGTGAAAAGTCTTGGCATACTCTATCGTTCACAAAAAAAAAAAAAAATAGTCATGACATACTCTGCTCAAACCTTGCTACATTCATCGTATGCTTCATTGAGGAGTTCCAAGGAAGCAGGTATGGCCTTGCCAGGTTTCACATCCATAACTAGATCAGAGCTCCTCTTTTCTCTCACTAGAGCAGCTTGCAAAGTAAGTTTTACTGCCCTATATAGCAGCCTTTCAGCAAAAATGGTCTTCAGTCCTCCATGAGCGGTGATTGTTGAGAAAGAAATGGTTTGTGGTAAGAGAGAGAAAGATGGTTTGCAAAATGTGTGGATCTATAGAGGGACGGTGAGAATGAAAGTTAGGATGAGAGATTAGTGTGGGTCGTTGGACTTTGCCAGAGTAGTATAAGAGGGGGAAGAGTCCAGAAAATTGAAAGAGAAGGGAGATGGAGAGATTTAAATTGAAAGAGAAGGGAGACAGAGATTTTGGGAGATGGAGAGATTTTGTGAGTGGGGAAGAAGAGATGAAAGAAAGAGGAGAGCGGTAGATGATCTTAAAAGAGGGGGATTCTCGGCTCATTCAATTCGGCGTGTGAAATTTTCGTTGGTTCATGCAGTTTGGCTCGGCTCGGCTACACATGGCTCAGCTCGGCTAGAAACTTTTCGGCTCGGCTCGGCTGAAAACGGTGCGGCTCAGCTTTTATTGGCTTAACTCAGCTCATTTCGGCTTGCTTTAATGAAATTTAAACTGCTTTTTATCGAGCTGAGCTGATAAAAGCCTAGCTAAGTCTAACTAAGTCGAGCCGTCATTGTTTAAGCCGAGCCAAGGCAAATTAAGCCGAGTCGAGCTGATAAAAAGCCAAGCCAAGCCTATATAAGCCGAGCCGAGCCCAATTCTTTTCTCTCTCTTGTTTATTACCTCTTTTCATAATCATAGCCGAGCCGAGCCGGAATTAGTAAGTCCTCACACGTAGAATTAGGTCCTTAATAAATTTATTTTTGAAACAAAGTTAGATCCTAATTTGTAGAGAATATTTAATTTTAACATGGGGATCATGAATATGAAAAAATAATAAAATTTGAAAATTAAAAATAATAACTCTATTATGAAAACATTTTGATCGTTAGTTTCAATTGTTTTTAAATGGACCACCTATTTGCCTCCATCTTTAAAATAGCTTGATGCTTTATACCTCTGGACTGCATATCAGCTCGCATAAAACAATTCATCTGTATAAACAAAAAAAAAAAAACAAATATGAAAGCCAAAACCATTCTTACTCTCAATGCTACTCCCTTTATCCTAACTACCGTTAATCGAATAGAGCGGTAGATCTCTCTCTTTTCATCAAATACATTGCTTTGTTGTAAGACAAGTGCTCTCTTCTCATCAAATACGTTACTTCATAATGGTAGGAGATTATGAACATGTTGTCAATAATATAGGTATATGCTGGTAAAAAAAAAAGGGGGGGGGGGAAGAAAAGCTCATGGATATGGTGGCAATGAACCCCAGACCCGAAGGGAATGGGTATGGGTCCAACTTTTGGACCCAAGGTTTGGATCTAGCTGGACTCGACCCATACTAGACCCGTTGCCACCCCTAAGTACAACTAGTTACCCTATCCATTCATTAAAGGGTCGTTTGGGTCCCTGGATACGTAAATCCTGGGTTTCTCTCAATTCATGATTTTGCAGATTCTAGTATATGTATAACCTAAGTTTGAAAACAATATTTTTTGGCTGGTTCTTGAAAGAACCAATATATGAAAAAGATCCCATTTGGCATTTTGAAGATGGAAACTAGGTTCTTGCTATTTACTGTTAATGCAGTTTAATCGTTCATTCTATAAGTTAATAATTCCCTAGTAATACATGACCAATAAAAACGATTTTTTGGGAATAAGTTGTTAATAAGATAAGCAATAAATTAGACGGTTCCAATTATATTTTTTGATATTTTTATAGATCGAATTATGATTCTCATTCACTCTCTCTCTTCATCTCTACACACACGACCCATGATAAGTTATTCCCAAATTCTTAAGATTATTTCACTTGATCTATAGAGACAAGCTCATAGGGCCCAGGAATCGAGCCATTGATCTTATGAAGAAAGTAATCAACAAAAAAGAATGGTGACACAGACTGCATTCTCACTTCAAGGTGCTATGTGCAAGAAGCTTCGTTCTCAGATTCGTTCGAGATTAGAATACATATTTAGCTTCCTTAACTTGTAAATGAAGAGATAATGGCACAAAATTTTCCTCCATCTTAATAGCCGGATACAAACAGGTAACTGATAACAATTGTATCATTCAAGCTTTACCTTGCTACATGAGATAAAAAACTGCAAAATCAATCAATAAAGCAAAACCCAAAACAAAACACCTATAACTCAATCATCAAACAAACCAATGAAGAACAAAAGAGCAATCTTGGCCTACACTGTTCACTACTTATAGGAAGTTCATAGCAAGATAAGAATTGATCCAAGATAATTTACAAAGAGATATGAAGTGAGAGGCTAAAAGCTGTAATGGCCATGAACCTATAGAACCCCAAACAAAACCCTTCAAAACCCAAAACTCCAACCCAAACAAATGTCACAAAACAAAAACCAAAGAAGTCTATGAAAACCATAAAAAAGAGAGCTTTATCAGAAACCCACCTTCCAGTTGGTGGTATAAGACCAATGGGCTAGATATGCAATCTTTTAAAAAACTTTTTTATTGTATTAAAACACAAGGGTTTAAATTTATGAATATCTCAATACAAAACCACAATACATAAATTCCAACCCACAAGCTTGGTTTATACACATTTGAATAATAAAAATTCAACCCTAATAGGTCCCTTACAATAATCCAATGGGATATCAATTCACATAAACAACAAAGAAGAACATTAAAGTTCATACCACACGATTAAAGGACAATCTCAAGATTCACATAACATACTCAATTATATAAATCATGAATCACTAAGGGACTGGTTGATAAAACCGTGATATTGTAATATTATAAGACAATATAAAATCTAAAAAAACTCTTAATTTTAAAAATTTACATGCCTTGTTTGATAGAGTCAAATCATATCTTTTAAGATTCAAATAACGGCAAAAAATCCGAATATATAGAAATTCAACTTGTAGTTGAATTTTGCGGCTTTCAATTTCCACATCAAATTTGTTTGCGTGCGTCTCTCCTCCAACAAAGATCCCACCTCTCTCTTTGCAAACCCAATATTGAACATAGGCTGCTCCCCCCTATTTGTTCTTGGGGCCCCTTCTCCACCACTAAATCTCAGACTCCAATAGAGCTCTTGCTCATCTCTCTCTTCTCTACACTCATGCCTTTTTTCTCAATCCTATACCTTAATCCCAAAAAGTCCCCATTACTTAACCCTTTAAGATTTCCAAAACCCTTAAGCTTGGGTTGGCTGATTAACATGGCCATGAGCTCGAATATTGTGTTAAAAAGGTATATATTTTTTGTGGGGTTGTTGAAGAAGAGGAGGTTTGAAGAGTGGAGGTCGTTGCAGAGAGTGTAAATGGTGACCATGTGAGCAGCTGCGGAGATGAGGTGTTGGAAGCCAGAGTTTGTGAAAAGGGCATGGCATGCCTTGCCTCCTTGAGAGAGAGTGGTTGAGTTGAGAGAGAACGAGATAATGCAAGAGTGCAAGCAGTTGGGGTGATAGAGAAATAGCTCATGGAATTTGAGTTGCAGATCTTTTTGGGATGTTGAGTCGAGTTCGTTGATCCCGGACTTATAATATTTGCAGGTGAATCAGGTTTCTCTCTTATTTATCAGTTTGGGTTCTCTCTATCTCTTGGTCTTCTATTTTTAAGTCCAATTCGTCTCTGTGTAGTCTATAGTCTATAGGGCATGTTTAAGCATGTGGGGAATTCTCACTCTTTCAGTTTATTTCATGGTCTAGGATTCTTGGAACATATCACGACATTCATTTCTCCCATCCCTCTCTAAATTTTGGCCTCTCTTCTCTCTCTATCTCTCTCTCTTTGTTATTTAGGAGTTTGGGTTGTCATTTGGGTTCCTCTAGATTGCTAAATGAATTTCATCAATAATGCAAGATAACTAAATTTGAAGAAACTACAATCCTTACAAAAGGGCATTTTTGACAAAAATGAGACAATATATTGTCCAATTCAACCTGCATGAATGCTGGAACAATTCAGACCTAATTACTGTGGCCATTTGTTTTGGGGAGCTAGCAGAATTTTCATGTCATGTGAGTTTTATTTGATGCAAGTACAAAGGCTGCTAAGTGCTAACAATGATTTGGAAGGTGACTCAAGAGAAGATTCTTTTAAACTGAGATTAAGTTTACGTAAAACAACCATTCACATGAAGTGACATGTTAATTCTTATTAGTGAAGTGAGGGACCCAATTCCCATATGCATTTGGAAATATAAATAATAAAAATTGTCAAATCTCCCCAACCACAACCTAGCCTTTTCTCCCACCCAACCTGTAGGATTCTAGTACTTGCTTCACTACCCTTGCAGCCTCACTGTCCCTTCCTCTTCCAACAACTTCCACCACCAAAAAGAAAAAAACATCTTTCCATTCCCACAAATCGTCCGTCCACCTATTTCAGACCTCCCTGAATAAATGTCAAATCATGGTGATTCAAGCAAGCAGTACCTCACTCCATGACCAGGCTTGAAAGTTCCCAAGCAACCATGCAGTCAACTCAACTATCACTACGTACCCTCCTCTTTACACTTGACTACAGCCCCTTCGTCTCATTTCCTAAATCAGAAGACATTCTGTTCCCCACGTAAATTAGAGTTCGCGATAGAAATATGATTAATATGCTATGAGACAATATTCTAGAATTTGCATTACCAGGGTTTAATTAACTTGAAATCAATCTGGTCATGTATGTCACAATTCGTATTGAGATTGCCCATTAGAAACATTGAATCACATCATAGAACATCAAACTAGAATGGTTTGATAGTAACTTGAAGAATAGTGAGGCTGTTAGGGTCTTCCCCTGCATAGTTACACCTCTCCCAAAACGTTAGCTAGTTTGAAGAGCAGACCTCAATTCAGGTACAAGTTCGGTAAAATTGAGCTACAAACAGAAATGAATTTCACAAATAATGTATGAGATAACTAAATTTGAAAAAACTACAATCCCTACAAAAGGGCATCTTAGACAAAAATGAGACACAATATCTTGTCCAGTTCAATCTGCATTCAGACCTAAATACTGTGTTCCTTTGTTTTGGGGAGCTAGCAGAATTTTCATGTCATGTGAGGTTTATTTGATGCAAGTACAAAGGCTGCTAAGTGCTAACAATGATTTGGAAGGTGACTCAAGAGAAGATTCATCTTAAACTGAGATTAAGTTTACGTAAAACAACAATTCACATGAAGTGATGTTAATTCTTATTAGTGAAGTGAGGGCCTAATTCAAATATGCATTTGGTTGAATGTTGAAACACGCCTCAACAAATATTCCTTTGTGATG